ACAGCTATAATTAGACTTGTTTTTAACTCTTTCGTGTTTTATTCATATTCTTTGAATTTTCATCATGTTTAGTAAGCAGGTGCCACATTTATTTAACATACTAAATGACGTAGAATCTGTGAATTATTTTTCGCCAATACTTTGTAGAGCTTTCTCAACAAGTCAGCTTTTCTTTTCAGTTCCTGACCCATGTGTGTCTTTGCCCTTCTTAGCTATGCTCGTTTTGTTTTTAAGGTAACATATTTGTGGTTCTTTTATGATAAGCAAGTGCTTTTTAGATGAAAAAATTTGCATAATATACTTATGTTAAGAAACATTGTGGTGAATTCTCATAAATAAAGACATCATTGAGCTACAAACAACAACAAAACGCTCTGATTGTCTTCTTTACTGCAATTCTCACTTCTCTGAAAAATTAATTATTTTGCCACGAGTGTGTTCCCTAAATTCAGAATTCATTAGCCAGAGCCAATTTGCCGGCTCGTCAGGATATGTTAGTGAGTAGAGGTACTCTTTAACTTGGCGAAAAACATAGGGGCAAGGCTAAAAAATATTCGTGAAAATCTTAGCTCGATATTACTTTTTCCTCTGAATGAATTCGATTAGGGTTTAAGTTTAAAAGAGAAAACACAACTTTAAAATTAATTAAATTTGCTTTGAAACGAGTTGGGTGTGGTGTGCGGAAAAAAGTGTTACCACCGCAAATAGCCAGCTGAAAAGAAACAATTACCTCCATGCTTCTTTTGAAGTAAAAATGAAGAAATAAGCCACACGAAATATTGGAAAATCACCGCAGGAAAAGAAAACAAAATGGTATTGACCGAAAACCCTTCAACTCTGTTTTTCTTGAATATAGAAAACCCCCGTCTGCAGTTGAAAGTCTTACATGGCTAGAGAGACTTAAACATCACCACCTGCTCATTTCGGAAACTAGATTCGTTCTTTGGATGTTCAGTGTGGTGTTCAAGAGGAGAGTTCTCAACGCCTTTAGCAATGAAAGAGTGGTAACTGCTATAAAATAACATGGAGAACCTAACGGAAAATACAAACCAAACAAGAATTAATCAATTTCGTTGCTTCACGGGCGTATATGATCGAAGTCTTATTATGTTTGTTTCGTCATTGATCTTATAATTTCCATTGCAGCCATTGTGGGAAATGGTCTCATTCTTTTCCCTCTCTGCAAGATTTCTTCCCTTCATCAACCATCAAAATGTTTGTTCAGTAATCTTGCATGCACTGATATCACTGTTGGACTCAGTTTCCAGCCGTTTCATCGCCCTTACATAATTTCCCAAGAACACTCTGCAATTTGTTACCATGGCTCGCTCATCAACCGAACCTTGGGGGTCATTTTCTGTGGCGTCTCTGTCCTCACACTGACTGCATAATCAGTAACATGGGTGTAATTTTTTCGATGATGACTTCTACTTTCTGCTACATAGCATTTTACATAAAAAAACTCCACCGTCAAGAAGCTCAACTCCAAGCTTAAACTATCATTCCCAAATTGTGTGATACAAGTACATTTTTCAAAGATAAAAACATAGCAGAATGACGTGCTCATTGTTGAGTTGAATTAACAACTGAAAGATGGAAACTTAAAAGCCGCGCTTCAAAAAATTGCAATATCACTGTCATCATCCGAATCATCATCGCCAGATATCGTGATTTCAATTTCGTCGTCATCATCATCATCGTCATCGTCATCGTCATCATCATCATCGTCATCGTCATCATCATCATTTTCATCATCATCGTCATCGACATCGTCATCTTCCTCGCCACCTTCGTCGGATTCCTAAGAGAAAAAAGGCATGGAGTCGTTATTTTATTGACCTACATCAAACACGTGTTGCACTAAGTGACGTGTTTTTGAAGTATGTTCCAAAAGTAAATTAAAGTTCATCTCTGCTTTAGTGCCAGGGGGCGCTATAGTCCACAACCTAACAAAGTGCAGGATTTTGTATGCAAATAAGGCACGAACCAATCACATAACCGAATCCGCATCCAAGATGGCGGTTTCACTTCTCTTTGATTGGTCCGTTCCTACGAATGTTGATGTGAAAGTCCTTAAGATTCTCATACCTGCTCGTCCTCGTCATCAGCCCTACGCAGCCGCCCGACTTCGTACACCCGGCAAACGCTTTCGTCGGTGCTGGCCTGATTCTAAAAAAGAACGTTACCGAATTTATGATATGAAATAATTCACGTGAACTGTTATGACATGATGACAAGATCTTTACGATGATAGTTTGCAACTTATGCAATCATGAAATGACAAGTAAAGCCAGTCAGATGGTTCGCATTGCCAAAGTTTCTCCCAGTTGTCGTGGCATGAGGTAGCTGGGATTACTGCTAGCTCCTGAGCTTGCAGTGCAGGCGTTATATTAGGGCGAGTTAACGTTAAGAAGTTCGCGATCGATTATTTCACCGGCCATGTTTGACTTAGAGTTTGAGTGGAAAGTGGAAGGAGGGGGCAGTGAAAGGCGAAAAGACGCTTGCTCGAAGAGGCTGTTAAAAAGCGAAACACCCCATGACTAATTGTGCCTCACCGCATTTTCGGAATTGAGCAAGTAACCGTAACCACAAGAAAGAGAGAAAAAAGAAGGAAAAAAAAAAGCGTAGAGCGGATGAGTGAAACTGTGAGGCAGTTTTTTTTCAGCGCAGAGACAAATGGCTTCGACGTAACCTTTTCCAAGGACACAGATATGAGCTGATATTCGCTGCATCTTATGTTCTTTGAGTGTAGCTTCCGTTAATCCCTTTGGCGATGTTTCTTCCATTTGATCGTAAACGGTGCTTTGAAGCAGACACACTTCTGCACTCGAAGGTTTGTTTTATAATTAGTTTTAAAGCTAACCAGCATCTGAAATAGAAAGCTTTTCCTAAAAAAACCAGTGGGTAACACTGCCAGCAGATCTTTTCCAGTGACCAGTGTGGAAATTAAGACTTTTTGCTACCCTCGTAATGCGCGAGACACTCCATGTTCTGATGAACACTTGAGAGATTCCCTAAATCTGTCTACAGCCGCTTCCTGCTCTAAAAAATTCGGTTTTTCTAGGCAGCTTCCTCGTGAATGAAATCGGAATTGTCAACTACGCCTTCGAAAGAGTTCACCCTCTTTTGTTTTTCCCGCAAGATAATCATGAAGCAGTTTGGCTAGTGATTGACAAGTAGAGCTAAACCGCACCAATCGGCTCAGGTCTTACGATCAAGATAAATTGAATTTAATGTTTGATAGAAATCACAAGAATCCTCTTACCTCTGAAGAAGTGTCGGAGAAGAGGGAGAAAAAAAGAGAAGAGAGGAAGTTAAGCAGGAGCGGGAGAGGAAGAGGATGGGAATGAAAGAAGAAGGATGGAAGGGAGGAAAACAAAACAAGGCAGAGGTTTCCGATTTTTAAGCTTACCTCAATAACGGCTACAAAGCTGTCAGTTATATCGGTACACAAATCAAATATTGTCTTCTTAACGTCGATTGTAGCTGTTTGAAAGCAATTGAAATTTCCAACATCATTTTCTCACTCATTTCGTAAACGTCAAGATATTTCAAATTAACTGATAACGAGCGCCAAAAAAATTTCTATTAAAATTTGTAGCAAGCCCTCCTGCTCACCTATTGGTTGATAATCTGTTGCGTCAAAGGTCCTGAACGAGGTCTCGTACGGTCCAAGGAGCCTGGAAGCTAGCGGTATTTCCAAAGGATCCGAAAGATGTTTTACTATAAAATACGGAAGAACAAATACCGCTCCCTTCAGTCCAGAATTCATTTTTTTTTCATTTTTTGAGATATCAGAGGCTCTGAGGAACTTTTCCCTGAGGGCCCAGTTATGTAAAGGGCGGATAACGCTATCCGACGGATAGAGTTTCTAGTGGATAGCGCTATCCAACCTTCGAAAGACTGGAGCCGGAAGTTTTAGGGTTATGAGTGGAATAAAAGAGCTAGAGCTCTTTCACTTTTCCAAACACCGCAAAAGTTGCTAAATAATTGATGAAAAGTTGAAAAATTTCCTTACGCAATTTTGGATGTCTATAAACTGCTAAAAACCTATGGAACCATAATCCCGGGTGAGTATTCTGTGCTCTCAATTTGAATTTGAATATCTAGATGACATATAGATCGCAACTAAAAGCTCACGACTTGGGCGCACTAAAACCTCAATGTCGGGTCTGGTTTCCTTCGTGAAAAATTAATAAAGTATCAACAAATTTGAGAAGTGTGTAAACAAGTAAACATGAAATTACCCCCATACATGACGTCACCACTGTTATTGAAGATCACGTGACATTGATCTAGTGAAGGACACGTGTCCAGTAAATGGAAAGAGCGAAGATCCCACTGTTTTTAGCGTCAAGGATAATTGGCAAAGCAAAAGGCACACTGTTTATTTGAAATGAGTTGCTTTGGACATTCTAAGGGGTTAGTGTCACAAGAAACAGCAGTGCTTCGTCAGTTGTGAGGGCGGGGAAATAACCAGATAGTTTGGTTTTATCGACTAGGTTGATGATGTAAATTGGCCAGCAAATCACCAAGGATATTCAGACATAAGTTTATGCTCAGTGGATCAGTCAGGTGACTGTGTATTAGTTCCCGAAAACGCTCAAGATGAGGAAACAATACACTTTTCTTATGAAATAATAGCCCTTGATATCTATCTCTCTCCTAATTCACTGTCAAAGTAAGAAGAAGGAGGTAGAGTGATTTTTCGAGATCCGTGAAAGGCCGACGTTGTGTTATGTTATTTTCGCGAATCTGGACTCTCTGCTTTACAGTCTAGCATTGGCTCGTTCTTTAAAAACAAAAAAAAGGATACAATCTCTGAATTGATGATAATCTCCAGCCCGGAGGGATGAAAAACGCCGCTGACAAAGTTGTTAAACTTGTCAAACTTGTGTATAACCCGTTTGCCTTTGACATCCCATAATACACCGTCGTTCAGTACCAGGTCGTCCGTGGGATTGAAGGAGGCGAGGTTCTTTGAGTAGTTGTTAGTGTTGTTGGAATCGTGCAGAGTTAGTACCCGCTGACCTGTCGCAGTGTCGTAAATCTGATGGTTGAATATAATCTAGTGAATAATATCATCACACTCTAACTGCATTCTAATGCTCGCAATTATCGAGAAATAAAAAGGGTGTTTTGGCAGAGAAGTACCACAAGCAATAAACGACAAAAAAAAAACCTGAATCAAATACAAGAAAACATTGGTCAACCTTTACTAAGGTAATCACAAGGCTTTGCCTCCAATTTATCAACGATCTACCGATAAAAATCTCGAGTTCGGCGCCTTAAGTTTGACTAATGTTTCAAAAGGCGTATTTCAACTGAGTGACTTGAAAGAAAAACCAAAGTTGTTTCTGAAGCATATCAAAATAGCAAATTAAAAAATTTTCAATCACAGCCAAGAGGCCTCAGAACAAGTAAACTGAGGCGCAGAAAAATGATCTTGGCCATGAAGTCTGAGCTAAAAATACTTCTTAAAAGTCCATGTATTCGAGACAAAAAATGATCGTGTACAAACTTGGGCGAAATTGGTGATTCTATCTTGCTATCCCGTGTTCACGCAGTAGCAATTTCGCTGATCTATTTTTCCTTTTGTAAATGTTCTAGATGAACAGCGACAATTTGTCAAACTAAGGCTGATCGTGATGTATTTAGAAGTGAAAATGCATCAAATGTCTTGAACTCACATGCGCAGTAGCGTCGTGTGTGCCAATAATTCTGTCTTCTGATAAATTACTAAACTTTACCCAGGTGTCTTCGCTAAATGGATGTCTGAGCCAAAGAGAAACAAATAAAATTAGAAAGTAAATAACATTTTTTATCAAATAGAGAGATAAATGTAACGACAAAATATTATAGTTCGCCTACTGTCACCGTGTTATTAACACCAATCCGATTATAGGATACAAGCCATGACATACACCAAAATTATTTCCCATTTTGCTTGTTTTGATCTTGGGCGTCAATTGCCGCAGGTGAATTAAGTTGGAATCATTGCTCGTCTCCTGTAATCTATGAAATTAATTTGTCTAAGTGTCTTCTGTAAAAGTCGTAGCTCTGACAGAATAATGTAAAACTTCTTCTTGTATTTCAGCGAAAGTCAAGTGAATAAAAATTAATGGTAAAACATAGTGAAGTATGTGTTTGTTTTATGTTTCTGCGACAAACATTGTAGTTTGTTAAAGGTGAGATACATATAAATCAAGCAGGGACACAAACAAGGACGTGCCTATCAGATGCACTAGTGGTACGAATCAAACAGGTTTTCAAGTTCAAAGACTTACTTCATTTCGAAAACGTCTCCAAATGACCAAAGAGCACAGGGAGGCAAAGCAGACGAAGATGACGTCAATAAAAGTTCGCGGTCCTAAAAATTGAAGAATGAAGAACAGAAAGACAATTTCAGTGATAAATGAATTCGTGAACACAACCTAAAAGGTTCACATGAGCCTTAGAAAGGTTCATAACGTTGCGAAACGCGCTGCAAAACTGATGAATAAAAAGGGTTGATTGGTTTCAGCGAAATATATGGAAATTAAACAGTTAACAAGAAGACTGGATTTGACCGAATGTTAAGTTATTTAAAAGCAGTAGCGGAGCTGCCTTGTTCGTGTGGATGTGGACCAAAATCCAACATCGAACCTAACTTGTTACCATTTGACTGTTGTTGGGTTGGGGGAGGGAGGAGTGGGTGCGCCAAAAAAAAATATTGTTGAAAAACATTAATGAAACTTTGGACTCTGTTCGAAGTAGAAAGAAAGGTATTTTTAACCCTTTAACTCCCATGAGTGACCAAGACAGAATTTCTCCTTACAATATGAATACAGTATCAAGCAGAAAAGTGATGAGAATATAGAAAAATATTAGTTAGGGAATTATAAGTTGATCCAATACCAAATTCTCCAAACAAACATCACAGGAACTATGCGGGAGAAGTAAAGAGAATTACTTACAAGATCTTGGGAGTTAAAGGGTTAACTATATGGGGAGGGAAGCTTCTATGTTGTACTCTTACTTTTGAACATTGGCACATGGAAATTGCTCTGTCTGCGCTACAGAGATAAGTCGCCTCTTCCTGCAAAATGTAATTTTTTTTTTTAAAAAAATACGTGAAATACAAATGAACATGAAAACCATGCACTGAGCGGTTTAAATCTAAAAAAGAACCAAAAAAAAATATATATAGGTGTGATACAGCTGACAACTTAACTTGTCCCAATCAACGACTAATTCAAACACATATAGGTATTTGAAGAAAAATTTGGCGTTTGACTTGAAATCAAAAAGGTGTAAATTGAGTTTTGTACCTGTCCAGTCATTAAGTTGTATTCCTTCAACTCGCCTATTTGTGTTCCAAGTAAAACAGACTTGCCATCGGGCTGAGGAGAAAAAGTAAAAACTTAGGTACTACGTTTACATGACCTCATAAAAGCCACTACTTTTTTTTTAAACTATAGTAAGGATAATTCTTACGGGTAGAAAAAAAAATCATAATTTCCATTTTACTACGAATCAGCCAAATGTAAACGACACAAACAAGAGGTTCAAAATTAGACTGACCAGCGTCTAATTTCTCTCTACAATATCACTCCTTGAAGCCAACATTAGGACCACGAGAATAAAGAAAATGATCACCGAATAAGAAGCTCTTGATTTTTAAACAAATTCTCTTTGTCAGCACCTTAGGGATTACATAGAGAACAGTAAGGAGAATATGCATACTGATGTTAGCATGTAAAGGGTCAAGCCCTGAAGATAGATTTTTGAGGAGTAAATTTGATGTCTGAAGAAGTATTACGGTTCGTTCATCGTAAAAAAAAAATTTAAAAAATCGGTTTTCAGTTTCAATTGGTTTTAATTTTCTTCACTCTCGGGAACCGGTCTTTATTTATCACTTGGTGAGAAGGGTAGGTTAAATTTTTGGGGATCCCACGGTTTTTAGGGGGGAGCGGAGGGGGATCAGTCGTCTCTAACAGAGCTTAGAGGAGCAACTGCAGAAGCGACTGCCAATGAGGTGGGATCATTACAATACTACAGAACTTTGAGGGAGGATCAGGTGAATTTTATTGTGAAACAAAAAGAATACTCCGGTCCCCCGCCCCACTCCCCAGGAGGAAAAATGACAGGCCCCTTCTTAAGTTTACTTCAACTGCTTCGTGTTTGCCAAATTTAGCCAACCAGGATCTTTTCTATCCTTGGGAGTGGTTAGTCCTCGATATCACTTGCTCCACTTAGCAGTTATAGATCTTAAAAATCACATTGAATGTGGTAACAGAGAGACTTACTGCAAAACATGCACATGTAAAAAAGCTGTTTTCTTCAGTATCGCGAATGGCCCTGAGCGGTTTAAATCTAATGGAGAACAACACAGTTAGACACAACCGAGAACTAAACTGGACACAATCAACGACTAATTGTGAAACTTCGTCGGCAAAATGCGTCAGAATTCTGTAGAGGAACATTATCTTGAACATTATCTTGAGCAAACTTGGCATATTCGAATCGTTTCCTTGAGTCCAAACCTATCTGCTAATACAACTGAAAATAAAAGACTTCAAAAGGAGATCAACTAGTGTCACGTCCTTGCACGTGAAAAACTCCACTTCTTTTGGTCGACGCGAAGATGATAAGCCGGCGCTTTTGAAAAACACGAAAAATCCACTCTGTTCAGAGATTATGGAAACCTCCGTCACCTGTGTTTAAAAATACCGTTTATGTGTGGACAGGGGTCTGAGAATCAGGTTACAATGATTCTGTTAAAAAAACATTAAGAATTTCTAATAAAGCGATACGAAGTACAAATAAAGCATCTCCTACCTTCCGTACACAAACCGTCTGTTTAGTCTGGCGCCGTTAAATCCGCCATGACGCGGAATCACCTTCAGGTGGGAAAACATTTTTCAAGATTGAGTACAGATAAATGTTGAGGGAGATCACTCTGGAATAAGAGCTGACACGAGTATCAGAACGACCTATTATGATGATGAGATAAGTGTTTCCTTTGTCCGCCACCGTGGCAAAATAGTTTTGTTTGAAGCTAAGAACAATAGCAATATACATACTTCTCTTCGCTTTAACCTCGTCGTCATGTTCGATGGTGCGTAATATCTGTACTTTGGTTCAGGGCATTTGTGGGGTCTGACGATAGACAAATCGGAATAAGTTGATTGTTTTAAATAAACGGGCAAACATTCGGAGAAACAGTTAAAAAAAAGGAAACAAATACATAAAAACAGTAAGGGAGTGTGAAAAAAAACCAAACAAAACAAGAGAAAGTCTATTCGTCTAGTGACCTAGAAAACCTTGTAGGCAAGAAATATTTCTTACTCACCTACCGGTCTACCAGGAGGAGTTTAGGGTTTCACAAACCTTTCATATAAGTAGCTACCGTTAAAGAGATAGGCGGTGGTGATTACTTAGGGGTCGTACAAAATTCGTAAAAAATCTCAACGAGGTCATTTGGTATTATAAGTCGAGTTGATCACCACTTCAGTCAACGTTAGCCCTTCGTCATCGCTCTGACGAAGGGCTAACGCTCGAAACGTTAACTTCGGAACTATAAACGGTGGCAAATTTTCATTATCTACTCAGTTTATAGTACCAAATTACCTTTTTAAACTCTCCAACCAACAAAGCACCACAGTTCTTTAGACAGGTAGGGGAATATAAGTTGATCTTGTGACAAATTCTCCGTACGAACACCATAAGAATTATGTAGCAGACAGTAAGGATACCTGACTTATCGGTCTGTTCCCATATTTTCCGGGCTCGCTCTACAGATTTAAAGAAAACAAAAACAGGATATGTTAGTCCCTGTAAAACTTAGACGCTTAATCAGACTTGCGCGCTTATTTCGCTTATTCCTGTTCACCAAACCTTTGTCTACTTGTCTAATAAGAGTTTAGAAACTCCAAGCGGGCTTGAAACCAGATTTAGTTCATGTAATTTTCCTCAACTGTTTCGTTTGGGAGAGCAAAGCGTGAACCTTTTAAGCAACGTCAGAGGTTCGAATCCTGATTAAGTTAGAGTAAGAGAACTTGCTTAAATTTGAACGGAGATATCTTTTCACCAAACCTAATTGGAGTGGGTCCTGAACACTCAAAAATTTCTTATGCAGTATTTATGTTCTCTCGCCCGATAGCCTCGTTTCCGTGCATTTTCACGCAGATACCGCTATACCACAAGAATGACGTCCAGAACTGTAATAACAGCCATTAACAACTATTCACCGAAGGGGAGGTGCCTAGTGGTGGATATACGGCTCGGCAAATATCCACCTCATACCACCCATACTGAGGAGAATAGTTGTTTTAGTATATACCAAAACAGTGAAATACTGTAGCACTAAAGGTCATATTAACGCATTTCTTCCTGCAACGATTACCATCTTTCCGGGCGCAAATCGCGTGCGCGCTGCTTGGAGGTGATTAGCAAGGGATATTTGGAGTTTGAGTAGCCAATCAGATCGCGTCTATAATGCTACCCACTGTATATATACTCACAAAACTTTTAGACTTTAACTGACTGTACCAAAGATGTGTTACAGATGTTTCGTTGCACAATAATATTGCATGACGAAGTAACATCCCCCTTATTTTCCTCTTAGTTTCGTGACCATCAAAATATTGACTACAAAGGAGTTAAAACACAGAAATGTTTGAGTTTACGCCTTGTAGACATCTTACCGAGTTCAGGATTATCAGGGTACTTGGCCTTTGGCGATTTTCCGTCTGAAATTAGAACAAACAAACAAAAATTAGTTCCCAGAAATGAAGAAGGGGCACTTTTTTTCGGCCTCTAGGGTCTACCCTGAATGTACGTCCCATCATTCGTGTGTCGACTAGAAATCACTGTAATTTATTAAAAACCACGTTCTTACTACTTGGACTGAGCAGAATGTATAGAGCATATTTGAGAGAAATGACATTTCAAACGCACACCTGGTACACTGGTATCTTCATCTCCTATAGTATCGGTGATACTGTTGTCTGTGGTGAACCGACTCGTTACACTGTTACGGAAACCGCTGCTGGATGGCTTCGTGGTAGATGTGCTAGTGGCGTTTTCATCGTCGTCAAAATCATACGGGGATCGGAGAGGTGCCGTCTCCCCTGAGTGATAGGAGCGTTTCTAAGGAAAAAAAAAAAAGGGAAACAGAACTTCTCGTTAAACAGGTGAAGGAAGAAAAAAGAAATCAATAGGTTGGGTGGGAAAAACTGAAATGCTGGATGGCTCCGTGGTAGATGTGGTGTTCTTTTATGATGATATTCTTCGGCTGATGAAACTGTCTGTTCTCATAACGTATTCACGAGATAACAAACTGGAACCTCAAGGAGAAGTTACATATTGATCAAGTCTGGGATACTTATTTTACTTTGACATAACAAGCGGGAGAAGGATAACATTGTGGTACTCAGAATGGAGATGAAACAGTGAAAAATTGTCATATCGCATTTCCTCAAATAAGAGGTTATATAATTTCGGCCAAAGGAGGGGGCGCCTATTGGAAGGATGCCTCTAAATCGAAGGGGTCGCTTATAAATCTCCTGTTCTGATTCCGCTGCGGTTGAAGCTTGATAAATTATAGATGAAGTGGAAAAAGAAAGTGTTTTTCTTGGTATTCCTATCAGTTGAGGAAACGAGGGAGGAGACGGGAGTGGGGGGGAGGGGGGGTTTCGAGGGGGCGCCTGAGGGCGGGCACTTATTCGGCGGAGGGCGCTTCTTAGAGCGTGGGTGCTTATTCAAAGAAATACTGAAATGCTGTATACCTAACAGGGTAGAGGTTCGGTCGGATAAAAGAGTGGCTGAAAAATGAGAAGGGTAAAGACATGGCAGACCATGAATTGATCTTATGAAAAGGTGGTCAAAAAGCGGAGAAGAGCAAGTGAAAAACAAAACATGCTTTCAAGAGAGGACAAATCAATGAATATAGAATGTCTCATTTAAGGAAAGAGGGCGAGTTAAGACGTAAAGAGGGTGAATATTCCTCTTACAAAATGCTGCGTGGGTTTCTGTATCCCGTATGTCTTGTCCTTAGTCTTCCAGCGCATGTACACATTCTTGAACTCCTTCCGAACCTGTAGTGTTTTTTTACAATAAAGCAAGATTGTGAAAGTGAATCAAATATTCTGCGTCCATTAAATCAAATTGAAATCGGGAAAAAATAATAAAAAAAAGGTATGTTACTCACCGTCTTGTCCAATAGGAGATAAAACACTAATATAAACAGGCCCTGTGAACGAGACAAGTTCATCAAAAATTTGTCGCTGATCGATCGACTTTCATCGATCGAAGAATTAAAAAACAGCAAATTCAAGGTATTCAGCATTTATTAATTTCGAGACGAGTCCTCACATCTTTTGAGAGTTGAAAATGAAACTGAAAAGGAAACATGCATTTTGCTTCTTCTCGATTACATGTGTTCAAGTACCGAATTAAGTTTTCGTCTCTACGCCTCCTTAGTCTGTTTTTTTAATAAGCTCTTCGACCCAGTTTTTGAGAAGCGATCATTAAATTTTTTTGCGTGAAATAAGAGTGAATTAGGGCTAAAATTTTGCTCATACTCTGATGGCGTAGAAGTAATGCAATCCCGGTTTTAGTTGCAAAAACAACTGAATGAGAGAAATCCTCCATTGCCTTTCCACATTAAAATTAAAAACCACTCGAGATTCTAACCTGGCAGAACGTAAAGGCAGCAAAGATATAGTGAAAGGTTTCCAAATCTTCATTGACCATCAAAATGGCGAACGCGAAAGATACTCCTATCAGGGGAAGAAGACCGGCTGTGGCTCGTAATCCGGCACTGTGACGACGAAAAGCGAGATAAATAAATAAAACATTTGACAAATGAATAGAGAAAATCTAGTTTAAATCATAACGAACCAGTCTTTATTTATCGACGGGGGGGAGGGGGGGGGGGGGGGAAAGGAAAAGGGAAAGGGGGATCATTGGAATACTCCAGAACGTTATGGGAGGGTTCGGTAAATTTCATTTTATCATTTTCAGGTATTAAAACATTTCTCAGTTACTGAGCAGTTGGAGATTGGTCAGTTAAGGGAAGCGGTTTTCAATGCATGGTTTGCATAAATTTAATGTCTTTCGTTATCTTTGGCGTGGTAGTTAACTATTCACCTCAGTGGAGGAAGCTAGCAGTTGATATTTAATCTCGCCGCTTCACGGTTCGGTAAATATCCACCATGAGCCATCTCTACTTTGGTGAAAAGTTGTTAAATAGTCTTTTACGCTTCAGTCTGGTTTTCCCCAGCGACGCAAACAAAAGCGCAAGCACAAACGCGAGCATCAGGTAATTATGCCAATTGAAAACGAACGTCGACGAGCACAAAGAGTAGCACAAGAAAGATGACAAATTTTGATCCGTGCGCTTGATTCTTGTTTGCTTCTCTATGAGCTGTTAAGCTTGCCTTTGTGCTCGCGTCGCTCGTGAAAACCAGGCTTTAGCAAGAGACGATTGGTACGCTCATGTATCAGTCAAAAGTGCTATCTTACGTCAAGTTAGACTGTTCCTCGTCATGGTGATGGTGGTGATGCCGGCGACGTCTCTTTCTTGATTGTTTTTGAAGTGATGTGAACAATGCCATGATAAAGACGAGTGTGTTGAGCTAAGATGATAAAAAGAAAATCAATGAACAACACGAAATACTAAATCAATCAATGTAAAGGTCTAAAAATACTGCATCATTCCACAAATACAAAATTTTTTGTGTAAATATGAAAAATTTCAGACCGTCATCTCTATGTAATTGTTTGTTTTGTTTGCCACAGCAACATGCATGTCAACTGCGCAGAAGAATACCACTGAGGAAAACACTATGTCACAAAACGAACTAAAAAATAAAACGGGCCCAACGTTCATCGACACAGTGTCTGCAACGAAACTACAGATGGAGAGGTGGATGGGAAAACAAGATGAGGAAGAACGGGTGAAAAGTGGACGGTTGACATTAACCCTTCTCATTAGTAAGACAATTCTAATGATGTTAGTGCGGAGAATTTGGTATTGGATCGAGTAATAATCCCCTACTTGATATATTTTTTTCTTTTTTTCTCATCACCGCCCTGCTTCATAGTGTGATGATGTTGTAAGGAGAACGGGAATGAGACCAGCTTCCTAGAGATGTCACTGGATGTTTTTTTGAAAGATTTTTAATTCAATTGATAATCCGTTTACCACAAGAGATTTACCTCTTGGTTTGCCGTTAACATTGACATGTGTTGTCAGGAGTGGGATCATTCGTGAAGCTACTTACCGCGACAATGATGATGATCGGAATCGTAAACGTCCAGATAAGTGTTCCATCTGTTGACATCCAGCAGCTGAATAGTAAAAAAAAAAAGGTCAAATGTCAAGAAATCTAGTGGGAACTGTCACTATCTACTGCTTGGTTTGGGAATGTTAAAAGTGCAAACAAACTGTTTACGCGGGCTGGTAAAAAGTTCTACAGAGACCATACAAAGTTGACTTACAATCTCTGGTTTCCATAGCCCTCGTTCGCTAAGCCAGCGGAAACTCCGACCACAATAGCGGGACATCCTGAGACAAAAAAAAAACAGAGTTAAAACCTTAGCACTCGTTGCACAGAAATCCGTGTTTTATGTCTCAAATAGTTTATTATTAGTATTATTTGAAAGCATTAATTGCGCAAAATTATCTTCCAACAGATGACGGCGAGTGAATATTATAAAACAGTGACTTTGATAGGTTTCTTGTACCAGTCATTCCTCTTCCCTCTCCCCGCTCCCTCCCCTCCCTTTATTCCCGGAAAAATGCCTGGTTACAGATAACAACTTCTACCTGATAATTTAAGTATTCTCACCCCTTGTTTGCTGGATAATGTATGGATATTGGAGGGAGAATTTAATTGTTAATCACTTCAAAGGGTTGATACATACACTTCCTGTTGGACAACATTCGCACACTTACCCCACCCCATAAAGAAATAGAAGGACATTTTGCCAGTGTCTATATTCCTCTTTTCCCTGAGCCTGCGATACATGTGCAGACCTTCGACGAACATCCACGAGAAAGAAGCGCTGAAGAAATAATGCAGCACTATGGCGATCAACTGACACAATCTCTGCAATGAAACACAAATAAAAGCAACGTCGTAAGATCAGAAGCCAAACTAATATTTTTTAAAGAAAGCTAAAGCTAGATTTCCACTGTCGCGTTCTTGCCCACGCTAATGAACATGCGTTTGAAAAAAAATTTGCCATGGTTAAAATAGACGTTCACGTGCGTAAAAGCATCCATTGAGTGAACGCTGTCACTTTTCAAAGCTAGCTTTGAAACTCTTTACGGTGGCCAATTTACGTTATCAACTCAGTTGATAATACTAAATCACCCTACTGTAAACATAAGTTGCCCTTGTATTTAACCCAACCTGATCTGCCGTTCTGTTGATTCCCAAGAGGAACGTCAGCTCCGCAACGAAGACCGCTACAATAAGGTTCTTATGAATTGTTATCGAATTGCTCTTCAGATTTCTGTAAAGACAAAACAGTGATGTTACTGATAATGATACATTTATACAGCGCATCCTCTATAGGAATATGCCCTACAACATTTTGCAGGAATTTTGCAGGTGCCCCCAATTTGAGAATTTTTGGAAAACAACACCACACCACAACACCAAGAGCTCCGCTATCTACGCTTACGAGAAGTGCGTGGGCTCAATATTGTATTGTTCAACTTTGTATTAGAAGAGCCCATGGGAGAAGAGATCATGATATAACGATATGGAATATTTCCCACAATTTCTTGCGACCGTTGTGAGAAGGTCAGGTAAGTAAAATGACGAAAATCAAATAAAAATTACCTTAGACACAAGAATAGTATAAAAGCTGTCAGTAACAGAACCAGGGACACCGATATACCAATGTAGGTCACCAAACGCATGGCAAAGGCTGCTTGCTCGGGATACTAGTAAAAAATCGAAAAAAAGAGAAAATTATTTGTGACACTGAAACAACACGCCTCTTCTCTCAAAAAAAATCAACAACAACATCATCAACAACAACAACAACAACAACAAAACAAATTGAATTAGTTTTCTTTCACGATTCTCAATTTATGAACTAATTTCATTTCAATCTTCCCCCTGAATCATTTGGATCATTTGGATCATTTTTTACAAAGTGTATTCTCAATAAAACTAGATTTAGACTCTGCTAGATCTACCAATTATAATAATTTTGTTCGAACTAATTATTAACAATTCTACATTCACTTTCTCGTTGCAATAGTTTGGAAACTGAAAACAACCTCCTCTAAAGGAAAAAGTGAAACTGACCCTCATACAGACCTAAAAATAAATTAACCCTTTAATTCCCATGAGTGACCAAGACAGAATTTCTCCTTACAATATCAATACAATATCAACCAGATAAGTGATGAGAATAAAGAAAAAGATCATTTTGGGGATTATTAGTTGATCCAATACTAAATTCTCTGAACTAACATTATAAGAATTGTATTGTTGACTGTAAGGAGAATTACAAACTTAATCTGGGAGTTAAAGGGTTAACTAATAATCCATACGAGAAATATATCCTTCAAAGCTTTCTACCTGGTACTTATTAATATATTTTCATTTCTTTATCTTTAAGTTAACCCTTAAGTTGACTCCCAGGATCTTATTGTTAATTCTCCCCTCTGGCTGATAAGGTTTTCCTCTAAATAATTTACGAGAATTGGTGTTAGATCAAGATAACAACTACTCCATGATCAGTTGAGGTATTCTCATTACCTGTTTGTTGGATAATGTATGGATATTATAGGGAGAAGTTACATATTTATCACTTCTGGGAGTTAAAGGGTTTTATATTTTTATCTTGCAGCTCTTTCTCTTTCCTTTCTTATTTACACTCTACTACCAACAACTCAAATCTAAATATATATCATGGCACTCGACCAGATTAGATTTTTAGCTGTTCTGGTAACCATCGTAATTGTAAATGTACGTCTTCTGCAAACAAGGTAGTAAAGTTGTTGTTGTTGTTGTTGTTGCTTTTTGTTGTAACAGCTTCACAATCATCAACCTCACCTGAAGATTTAAGTCTGACAGGACTGCAAAAGCCGTTAGGTGAGTGCAAGAGCACACTGTGTGAGTTCTATTGGTCTTCACTGATTTACACCCGTAACGTGACCAACCACCACCACGCGTGTCTCTATGGTAACGAAAAACAATAGGCAGGCTTAGCAATCACGACGGGTCTTCTGGTTCGGGAATAACTGTTTTCATTACAGACGTCAACCAAAAGTACCTGTACATATCATATTCGATTATAGTATATTTTATAGCGGTTTTTGCCATAACGACGACGTGCAACTCTTGTAGTGTCTCCGATTGGCGGTTGCTAGGTTACCATGTTCTCCCGCTGACGACAACTCGGAACGAAAATGAGTACACAGGCGCGAAAGCGGCGCGACTAGACAAGTGTCTCTATGGTAAATTCGAGAGTATGCAACAACATAAAATTAAAGCTATTCATTATTATACTCACGGTACTGAATAATTCCAGTGCACACAAATGTAAGACGATCGATTCACCTAACAAAAAGGAAAGATGACAAATAAACCAACATGACAGCAGTTGAATTGATCACGTGGTAAACCAGGATTATTTAAGAGAAGACAACTTAAACATTCTTGGGTTAGTTTCTTAAACAAATCCTAACTAAAATTAGTAACGAATAACAACTTACAAGTCTGTTGGCAAAGGCAATGCGGACAGGATATGTTAAGGGAGCCATTTCCATCTCAGGTAACTTGACAGAGATGACATCAGAGCTGACTTCAACGTTGTACTTCGAGTCACTGGAAAAGAAAAAAAAAGACCTTGAATATATTTTAAAAATCCTCATCCAGAAGAAGATTAACCTTTTACCTCCAAGATCTCATTAGTAATTCTCCTTACTGTCTGTCATACAATTCGTATGATGTTAGTTCGGAGAATTTGGTATTGGATCAACTAATAATCCCTTAATTTATATTTTTCTCTATTCTCATCACTTGTCTCCTTGATATTGTATTGATATTGTAAGGAGAAATTCTGCCCTCGTCACTCGTGGGAGTTAAAGGGTTAACAGGAACTGCAGATGTCAAACTTGGAAATCATTTATGCTTATTACACTCACAAACTACAACGTGGTTCGCTTAAAATAAATTAATATACGAGTTTTATCAAAAATAAGAAGACGACAAGCAAAAGCAGTTATAGCAAATCGTAAACTGCTTTTAATTATTTCTGGAACATATTCCATTTCTCAATCAAACCACAATATACACTACCAGCAGTCCCTTCTTCTCGGTGCATTCCGTCGCACGATTAAAATAAATTCAGTGGGGAAAAAAGATGACGTTATCGCCCTTCACACCCAAAATTCAACGCATCAATTTTTTTTTTCTTTTCACAATCTCTTTTGACTCGTGCGACAGACTTCGCTGAAAAGCAGGGACTGCTCGTAGTCTAACCACGAAACAGTCTCTTCTAAATACTAGGGGGAAAACCAAAATTGTTTAAAAATTCTATCCAAACGTACTTTCAATGCATTTAGTGCATGTAACATACCGGATCTTCGCGTCAAACGCCTTGGGTAATAAATCGCCGATATTTCTGATGATCATGAAGCCAACTCCTATGTTGTCTTCCACGTCTAAAACAAAATTAAATAAAAAAATATTTAGTTCTCTAAAAGAGCTGTCACTCACAACATTACAATAATCATTGCAAAAAAAATTATAGCAATCTTAAAAATTGTTCAAATCCGCCTCTCTTTGTTGTTGTTTGCCAGCTCTCCCAGGTGTCCTTTTTTCCTCGCGTGCGCGCGCGGAATCCAAACGCGCACTAATTTTGCTGTGTCAGGGTTTAATCTAGAAACTACCCAAAGAAGGCCTGGCGGACCCCCTTCTTTAGTTTTAGGGAGGCCCTTTACCAAGAAAAGGGTTATTACTATGTAAAATAGTACTTACAAAATAAGATTATCCTTCGGCACAATTTTTAGCGCCTCATTTGATATTTAAACGTACCTTTTATAAGGCAAATTTTTCGACTTGTGGCGATCCCGCAAAATCGTACTAAAGTATAAACCCAGGTACTTGTTATGCAAGTTACGTCAAATTCAAGACTTACCTGTTCCACGAAAGAAAGGTTTAGGAAGGTAAATTCTATTGGAGATATTACGCCAAATTTTATAAGGAGAGTCGCTGTAAACGTCTGTTCTCGCGGGGTACGATAATCCAGAGAATCCTTTGACATACACTGGATGAAGTTCCATAACTATGAAGAACATGGCGTGGATATTAGCAAGTGAAAGCAATCGTTTGCTTACAACGAAACCGTCCTCTAGGTGAATCAAAATAGTTTCTATAGTTTGCGGAAAACTCATAAAAAGGGCGAAGTTACGGTATTCTAAAATATAGGCTACTACGATTTTCACATAAATAAGACAGGAAAGTATCATTCGTGCGCATGTTCAGGATCAAGATCTCTAGAACGCGTTGAATGCCGTTTAGTAATATTTCATAAATCTCTGATAATAGCTACCGTGCGCTTCTTAACCCAAACACCACAAGTAAAATCCCCAAACTGATCAGAAATCTCTATTGACATCATCTGTCTTTCATAATTTCAAATTCCAAAAAATGCAGTGATATTGTTTGCAACATTTCAATCACTTATGAGACAGAGCGGAGGAATTCCCCGACAAGTAGGTATTAAAATTACCTCAAAATGCGACACAGCCCTGTTACACACAGCAAACTCAACAAAATATAATTCTTACCAATATTGGGAGTAATAATCGTGTACGGTGGCAAAATGCTGTCGGTAGAGCGTCTGTATCTGCGCGAGTCTCGTTTTAAGTACGGTAGACTTCTGGCTAAGTTTCCGCTGAAGTTTTCCATCTGTTTCAACAAAGCCGCTGTCCCTGCGGAGTGCTGTCAAATTGAAAGAAACAGCAGTCAAGATAAGAGGCTTACACGGCCAACGGAAGATAATAGTAGGGTAAGTGTACATAAAAATATCAACTGCTCCCAAAAATCGCCTTACAAAACTCTTGACCTCACTGCCAGTGCCTCCGCTTTCCGCTTTCCGAACAAGTATGATGATCACGGTCAAACACTCGTTATTGGCTTCTGTTTCCAGTAATGCGAATGGCTGAAAGGGCACGAGTTTCACAGGCCAATTGGAGAGCATAGTGAAATAAAAACCGGCGACAAATCGACCGTGGATTACTTGCAAAAAGAAAAAATAAAATAACAGCAAAAATAATTCGGATCAATGTCAGGACCTGCGCAACTGCGCACCTACCCTTCCCTTAACCCAACAATAACACGAACTTGTTATTAGTTGACTGTTCTTGGGTTAGGGGGAGGGGTAGGTACAGACTTGCTCAGATACTGATGCAATAATTATTACCCGTTGAACGACGTCCCACACATCTTTGTTATCGGAGCTAAACAGCGTACTGGCTGACTGAAGAAGGACCTGTGGATCATATCAAATAATTACTTGAGTTGTTGTTCTTGAGAGAAGCAGAAATTGTAAGCAGAAAAGAAGAGAGAAGCAGAAATTGTAAGCGCGAGGGATTCCGGATCGAAAAGTCGGTTTTGATCCGTAAACTACTCTCTTGGTTGCGTTTTCTGGCAAAACTTTCTTTAACCCTTTACACCCTAACATCAGCATGCATATTCTCCATACTGTTCTCTATACAGTTCCTAACGTGCCGACAAGGAGAATTGGTTTAACGATCCAGAGCTTCTGTAGTTGTTGATCATTTCCAATATTCTCATGACCTTAGTGTGTCATTCGGGGATGATATTGTAAGGAGAAATTAGATGCTAGTCACTCTTCAGGGTGAAAAAACTGACCAGTGAACTTCATTTGCACATTCGCAGCTGCATATTTAAATTAAAAGAGGATTTTCCCGTCCTAAAAAATTGTACATTGTGTCACATCATCATTTCGAAACAGCTCTCTTAGTCACAATTTCACTTCTTGACTGTGGGTTTCTTGTGACCTGGCAAGAAATGGGAAATCCAGACACCATACAACTATTACCTCCGCCACGAAAACTTACACAGATAAGACAGTGAACGCGTTTTCCGATTCAACAGGTCTTCCTCACGCGAGGAGATCTGCCTTTGAAAGTGGCAAAAATTCAGGCAATGTTTGAACAGTTAACCCTATGCACCCTAAGATCAGTCTACATAATCTCTATACTGTCCTCTTTACCTTTCCAAAGGTCCTGACAAGGAGAATTTGTTAAACTATCAAGAGCTTCCTTAACTGGTGATCAATTCCTTCATTCTCGTGACCGTAATATTTGATTCAGGGATGATATCGTGGGGAGAAATTAGTTGCTAGTCATTCTTAGGCGTCAAAGAGTTAAGAGCTAGGCATGAACGGATCGTTGCTTGAGGTGCGTAGCGACCGTTTCGATTCCCGCCAAATGAGCTGAAGTCGGCGGCGTCACGCCTTGTTTAGGCCGGGCCACTAAGTCAAATGTTATGCTCATTTTAAGACAACTACCCAAAGAATACAATCCCCTCGAATGCTCAAACTGCGGTAAGTACTATATCTTTACTTTAAATGGCTGAGATGGAAATTATGCGGTTTCTGCAATAAACTTCTCTAACTTTCGCACCTTCGCAAACTCCTTGGTCTTGGCTGAAACAAGCGTGCTGGAGTTTTGTTGACTCTCGTATCCAAACAGAGTGGTAATAATCGTCAGTGCGATTTCTATGTCTCTGGCGTACAGTTGAGGGGATAACGTGATGGCAAGATCTAACTGCTGTCCTATACCAAGGGCGAAATCTGGCTTCCAGTCAACGTTACCAGACGTCAAGTTTTTTAGCTACAAAAGACACAAGGGTAATTTAGTATTATCAAGTGACTTGATAACGTAAATTGGCCACCGTAAGGAGTTTTAAGGCTGATGTTTCGAGCGTTAGCCCTTCGCCAATCACTCTGACGAAGGGCTAACGCTCGAAACGTCAGCTTTAAAACTCTTTACGGTGGCCAGTTTACGTTATCAACTCAGTTGATATTACCGTCATACTCCTCCACCGACATAGCACAAGAGTTTGTTTAGAAACTTAAACCCTCTACACAAAAGAAACCAGTTGAATTGCCATCTGTCTGTGAAGACATGTTGGTCAATTGATTGAGGGCGGGGGGAAGAACGGAGATATCTCCATGATCTGATATGATGTATTAAAGGATGCATGTTGTTTCATAGTGTTTGATGGGGGCGGGGGTGTCTAACAGACAGTGGTTGATAACTTTCCATCTTAAGAAAGAACGACCTTTCTTGAACATTTCAAGGAACAATTTATCACATAATTCTAGCTTGCGACTCATTCAAAAAAAGCAAAGTAAAAAATTAATAAACAAAGCGATAAACATGTATCACACAAACAAGGGAGAACTACTACTTCGTGTCGGGAAGGGCAGGATTAAATACAGACTGTAGTTAGCAGTTATTCACCGAAGTGAAGGTAGATAAAAATCACTTTCATAGACACTGAGGTAAATTATTATATTTCATAAGCTCTCACCTTCTGCTGCAAAACAAAGAATGAGTTGGATACACAATTAAGTAGACTTGGTTTCTGCCAGCCATCATCCTTGTGACAAAACCGAGTTGCTGTTCCTAATAAGGAAGAACGAAAGAAAAGCATTAATCACAAACGTTCTCTTCAGTGATCTCAAATTGTGGTTGAATCTGCGAACTTGGGAGTTAAAACACAAGTTGTGCAGAACATTAAACATTACTGCAGGCTTGTACTGCTATGTTACTCTCACCTGAATCATCACCCACACTCGCGTTTTAAGCACAGACTCCAAATCTGGCTTCTCACGTGAAAACCTAGCTTTCGATCACGCCTTCATGATCAGCGCTGCAGGACGCGCGTTTTTCCACCGGCGGGAAAATTTGAGACGCGTCGGGAAGAGGTTTGCCGGAAGTCTGGCACTAATAACGCTATTTTCAGCGTAAAACTCGTTGCACACCTCTCTCTTACTTGCGTCGCTTACGGCCTCATACTTTCCCGCGGGCGAAGAAACGCAATACTACTGAGCTACTGCTAAAAAGTTCGTGAATATCACATAACTTGGTTTTATTCACTGACTTAACAGTGGTAAATGGCTTGTTTAGTAACACATCAAAGAAGCGCTCGACGACTTTCGTTCACGTACTCGAGTTTACAATACAATACAATACAATATTCTTTATTTAACGAAGTTGACGTAATTAACCAAATGATTTATCTAACTTACGGCCTTCAAAGCAGTACAAATACATATATAAAATAATGACTACTCGGCAAAACGACTTACTACGAGAAAAAACTAAAACTAGAAATTGTACGGTTTAACATAGATATAACATGATATAAATAATTACCTTCTTAAACAACATTTCATCCACAAAATTAAAAAACATCGAAAACACAAACCCGATGATCCGAATGGGCATTTTTCTTTTGCTGTTGTCCCAAACGCGGCTTTTTTCCACCATATTTCTTCAGCAAATGCTCTTGGACATGATGTGTTTATAACTATTAAATACAAATAAATAAAATTAATTCTAGAGTTCCTCATTTCCCGGTTTTAGTAAACAAATAATACGTAGATAAATAAATAAAAAGAGGTAACATGACGAATGCTGTTCGAGATATCTTCCTTTAATGTGGTGAAATAATATAATAATGATAATAGTAATAATAATAATAATAATAATAATAATTTAACAAATACAAATCATTGTTAGTTATGTGTACAGAAGACTCACGATTTCTCGTGCAAACTGTTTCTAAAAAACTCTCGATAAGAGGAATTAAAATTAACTTTCCTTTCTCATGAAAGAAATGTTACCAAACACACGACCTTCCGACAATTCAACCAATTCCCTTTTCCAAGTAGGAAATTAGAAAAATGGGGATCCTTCCTTATTTGACAAGACTGAAAAAGACTGTTCCTCTGCAGGGGAGTTAATGCATGTCTAAGCGCCTGTTTTAAACGCATGCAAACGCATTTCACCTGCAATAAAGACGCGTTTTGAACGGGATGAGGCGTGTTTCATCGGCACTGTTGAAACCTTACACGCACAACGTAACCCATTTCAAACGCATTAAATACGCATACAAACGCATTTTCACCGCGTTTGCAACGCGTTCAAATTACGTAAAATCTCACTTACCCACACAGCCTCTACCGCTCACAATCTGACCCTGTTTGTCTTCGCACTGATTACAACGCCTTCCGACCACATTCTTCCCTCCCCTTCGGCCTTTAAGACAAGGGCACTGGCCATTCTCTGTAGCACACTGATCACCAGTACTACCAATCTCTTCACAGTCACATCTAAAACAGCCATCACTAAACACAGGGGCACCCGAGAATGTGTAGCTTACAATCTTTCGATAGTGCTTTGCCTGGACAAAAACAAAACGAGTAAAAATTTAAAAAAAAACATTGATTTCCAGTTGCGTAACAAGTAAATGAAAGACACATTAGATTCAGAACTGAATTCTGGAGCAGTAGGCACGGTTTACAGGCGACGAAAAATGCAAGACCACAAGGGAACCATTCCGTGGCTTTCTTTCAGACACATCGCCCATACAATGCACTTTTCAGCCCTGTTACCTATACCAATCAAATAAAGAATGATGCAAATCGCAAACAAATCGGTATAAAAACCTGTTCTTTTCGACGAAATGTAGAAGCACACTCACAAAAAACTTTATGTCCCCCCAGACTGCAAACAATTCTCCTTTCCCGCCTAAGTCCATAATGGTAGATTAAGGAGTTTTTTCTTCATTTGTTTTCTGCATTATCGCTTTTTCTCCCATTGATTTTTCCCTCGTTCTCCTGACTTCATATAGAAAAACAGAAACTGCTCTGATTTTTCCCCTGGTTTAGACTCTCGAAACTTTCCACGGTTTAAATAAAGTTCAACTGATAAGCTTCCTCCATGTGGTACTTACATTACAATAGCACTCTCCTGTAGACTTGTTACAAACTGGACTCAAATTCATCCCCACTTCACATTTACACGGACCACAGACGCCTATACTTGAAGCACCAAAGTACTTATCTCGACAGGGTATCTCCATGCGGACTTCACAAAATTCCCCTAAGAAATTATACAAACCATTAAAACTTGAAATTTAAGTGAATCTTAAGTTCAACAGTGAGATTTGCGTTGCATATCGGTAACTGGTGAATTCGCCCCACTGCAAGTTCGCGCCTAATCACCAGTACCAATTCGCCCGCAAATCATTCAGCTAACCTAACTGCGAAATTGCTAGAGCAGCACGATATCTATGTGTTCCTCTTATTTAGTTTTCGTTTTCTTCTTTGCTTTCATTTTGTTTTCGCATCTTGTTTTTCAGTTTTGCACTGAGGTTTTTGTTTCTGTTTTTTTTTGTTCTTGCGTTCGAAACGGTGCTCTCGCGTCAAGAGTAAAAGGGTGCTGTATATGTATTTATCATACAAACTACGGTGTTATACTGAAGAAAAGTAAAATGGTTTCTGTGTTTACATACCCTGATGTAAACACGCGGGAGGTTGGGAGAAGACGAGATAAGCGTAGGAAACCGTTTTATATTTCTTTTATGAAATAACTAATGAAAGAGGAACGAAAACCGTGTTTACATACGCTCATGTAAAATGGTTTTATGGCCAATCAGAGTACTATTTGAATTATTTTATAAAGGGATTTCCAGCCCTGAGAAAAGCTGTAACAACACACGTGAAAAAATACGATATTTTTTCACGTGTGTTTGATATCGCCAATCAGCTGCTGACACGTCACACGCCTTTCGCGCCACTCGGTCAGGTTGATGAATGAACGGCAAAGCCTTCACCATTCTCAATCCAAGGTCGTTTGTCAGAATATTTTCGGATTATTTCTGCTTAAAAACCGAAATATTCGTATCGACGCTTACAGACAGTGACGTTCAAACTTTCCTAGAAAGGGAAGAAAACCAAAAAAAAACGAAAAGAAAAACCGAAAGTTACGTATTTAGTGGTTTTGGTAATGGCATTTCTCGCGGCTGAGAACGAAAATTGACCACTGGAAGATTTGCCACAGGCCGATTTTGGCCGGTTACCTGAATGATTTCTTCTGTCGGTAAGGACCAATTCAATAACTGAAAATTTTGTATATTGAAAATTAGGCCCATTGTTTGTTTTTGTAGTGATTCAACGCATGTTCTCATCTTGAGTGCGCCAACGGACTTTACGATTTGTATTCGGGGATTGTCGATCCTTTTATTTTAATTCATTAATAGAGTCGACTTTTCTTGTCAGTAAAAGGCTACTGTGTTTACATGATAAACAAAATAATACCTAGTTACTTGTAGATATGAAATTTCTCTTCTCGTATTCAACTCCACATCTCACTTGTGAGCTATCGAGTTAAACTCTCGAAGGGAAATTCCATATCTACGCGCGCCCATGTATTATTCTCCATTTATTTACTTATTTATTTCATTTATAACAACTTTGTATGGATTAAAATGGTACCCACAAATTGCAAAAAAAATGTGTCCAATAGGGAATGATTTTAAATGAAAAAAAAAAAAAGATAAAAAATGAAAAAAAATTCCACTTACCAGTGTACTGTTGAGGACAAACACATCGGAATCCCTTTCCATGGTTTGTACTTTCACATTTGCCATGTCGGCATGGCTTAAGAGAACATACGCGCAGGCAGTGTTTACCAACGTAACCTACGGGACATATGCATTTGTAGGAGTCGAATTCCTCTTGGCACGTGCTGTAGTCTGGACAAGGGTTCGATGAGCAGTGGCTTCCCATTTTCTCTTCACAAACAGATGTTGTTTTGTGATTGACTCCAGAGTTCATGTTGATCTCAGTGCTTCCGACAAAAACCCCTACAGATATGGAAAGAGAGAGGTTAGTGTCTCCTCGTATAAACGGGTAACCGAGTTGGACCATTTCCGAAAGGCCCATAGCCTCTGTTTTAAAACGAGCTCAGATACGATACTTCTCATAGGAAAAGAAATTATTTTGCAAACGAAGCTATTTTCACGAAAAAGGGGTCGGAAATGGCCTAATATTCATACATCCACTATTACCATGCTCACTCCAAAAGCACAGTTCCAACGCTTACTACATAAACAAGCACGCACGAACACACATGCACGCGCTTGTACGCACCTGCTCGCACACGTACACGCACGTGCGCACGCACATACGCACTCACACAAACGCTCCAAACCTAACGTTTAGTCTGTCTTGCCTTTCTGTGATGTTTCTTCATGTAAATTACTAACAAGTAATAACACGATTTATCTTGCAATTTGGTGTAATAAGCACTTATAAATTTTTCAAAGACTACAAACTTCACTCGCCCTACAGCTCGTGCAATTTTGTGGTACTGAAAAATTTACTCGAGCGTATTAACACCAAATTGCACTCGAAATCATGTTATTACCTACACTCATAAACAACTATCTTTTCCTCCAAGCTTAGGGAAATCAGTGCATTGCTACTAATTTAATACCTAGAACAGGCTACAGAAACATAAGCCTAACAGTTTAACTAGAGGAATTTGCTTAGAAAAGCATACCTTGTATACAGCCTCTAAATCCACCATACACTGCAGACTTGGTAGAATTCTTCCTCGCTCCCATGAAAAACTGTCTGGCAACTCCAAGGTCTTTTCCACTGGATGCATCTGCAGAAACTTTGTAGATGTAGTCCATTGTTATGTTAAGGGAAGAATCTGTCCAGAGGATCTCGATGTGATGCCACTGGGTATCATTCACGGCTATGTGAGGCAATTGGAGAACTAACAGCCCTTTGTAGTTGTACGACAGTTTACCATCAACCAACTGAAATAGCAACGAAGTTCACGTAAGTATAAGAATGTTCAATGACTTTTAAAACATGTACCTTGATTTACATAACTTACCTCTAACACCGAAGATGATGACGAAAAAGAGGTTTCAAGCAGAGTTCCTGAAGGCTTGGCTGTGCGGAATCTCATTGAAACACTCCACGGAAGATTGACCCTTGAGTTGGCAGGCACCCTCATAAAACTCTGTCCTGAGAATCTCGCAGTGTATTTCACACCTGTTGAACAAGGAAGTTTGTATGAATGGTATCCATATAAGAACCCGTGATAAGAAATTGATGTTCTCCTTAGTTGGGGTATTTTAGGGTAACGCGACTCCCAGAAAATCAACGCTAACTGGAGGCCTGGATAATTTCTCCTCAATTTAACCCTTAAACTCCCATGAGTGACCAAGACAGTATTTCTCCTTACAATATTAATACGATATCGACCAGATAAGCGATGAGGATAAAGAAAAACATCAGTTTGGGGATAATTAGTAGATCCAATGCTAAATTCTCTGAACTAACATTGTAAGCATTGTATGGTTGACAGTGAGGAGAATTACAAATTTGATCGGGGAGGTAAAGGGTTTAGGAAATTAATTAACCCGAGTTACATCAACCTTTTACCTGCCATAAATGACCAAGATATAATTTCTCCTTACAATATCAAAACAATATCAAGCAGACAAGTGACGAGAATAAAGAAAAATATCAATTAGAGAGTTATTAATTGATCCAATACTAAATTCTCAGAACTAACATCATAAGAATTGTATGACAGACAGTAAGGAGAATTAACAATTATATCTTGGCAGTGAAAGGGTTAAGAAACAGAAATTGCTGACACAACAGAAGACAGTATTTGAGGAACTCGGCCCTTATCGTTAAGGAAGGGAATCTTTCAACTCTGAGGATTGTTCACAGGGTTTTTGAAACCGGCAGATCTTCGTCAGATGTACAGTAAAACTGATTTTTCGCTCTTTTCTCAGAACTGTCGGGTCAAAATCTGGTATGGATCGATAATTCAAGGCGAAAATACCGGTGATTAAGTACGTGCATTTATTAATTGAAGATCCACTAAATCAGATAAACTCGACGATATATTTCTCATAACAAGGAATCGCATACATTTAAATGCTCATAAGGTGTCCTTTATCATGTACAACTCATGAACTGTTGTCTGCATCTTAGATACTAAGCATTTGAAAAGATTCCAAAAGATTCCGTACTCTTCCGAACGCTTCAAACTAAAGTAAGTGCGAGAGGAAAGATCACTTACATATCCGTAAAAAAAAAAAATTCAATACCTGTTTCACAGCGACTTCCATCAAACCCAGTGGGACAGTCACACCGGCGAGAACCAAGTATGTTAAAACACGTGCCTCGCTCGCAAGGTTTATATGCGCACGTGTTGCCCATTGCTTTACATTTAGCACTGGTTCCGTTGTTGTACAATGGCTGACTGAGGTCCAAGAACTTGTGATCGATGTAAACATTCCTGATGCAGCCAGTAAAATGTTTGTAGAGGACTGGGAATTTAACTGGTAGCTGCACGAGCCCCCCGAGAAGAAGAGGGCCTGTCAGATCCAAGGAGCTAGAAAAGAAAAAAAAAAGATCACATTGTTGCTATTTGCAGTTCGCTTTTTATTCCCAACACGAAAACATTCCATACATGATTTTGAGAATTTAAAAAGTAAGTAGAATTATGTATAGGACAAGTAGTGCAAAAAGTGTACACTTGTGATCAAAGTGCAGTGATCAGGAAGTTCTAGCCCTCAAGATTACAGTTGACCCTTTGACTCCCAGAAATGAGAGCTCCAATTGCAGTTTGACATTAGTAATCTGACAAAAAAAATCACTGCTTGGATCAAAAAAAATGTCAAAAACATCTTACCATAAAGGTCACCCACTATACTAAAATTATTGCAAATATTAACCCGCTTATAAATACCTAAAGCTCTGATGATGATGATGATAATAATAATAATAATAATAACAATTAATAATATTAATAATAACACTATTATCAGTTCATATGATATATTTCTCTATTCTCAATTCTCTTATAAATTTAAGAAATAACTAATTCAAACAAATTGGAAATAAACATAGTAAATAAACATCAACACAGTTTTTAAGAACCCCAACAAACAAAAGGCAGACAAATTGGCTTTAAACAGAGCAAAGCCAACGAGTGGAACTCAGGGCAACTGAAAACAAATCCAGTAAGTAGCTGAGTGGAGAACTACAACCTGGGACCACTGGATTACAAGTCCAGTGCCCTAAGCACTTGGACAGTCCCCTAAGCACTTGGCCAGTGCCCTTAGCACCTGACCAGCACCCTAAGCACCTGACCAGTGCTCTAAGCACCTGACCAGCACCCTAAGCACTGGCCAACACCCTAAGCACTCAGCCACTCTGCCTCTCTGATGGTGTGCATTTACATAAAAATGTACCTGTAATTTTCAGATTCATCTTTAATTTGAAGTTGCTGTGCTGCGGCACATGGGAAGGAGGCAGCTTTGGTCCCAAAATTCACTGCCACTGCAAGTTTACAGTCATCAACAATGATAATGCCAGTCTGAAAAAAAGAAAAAAAATGATCTACTGGGTAAAAAACATCTTGAAAAAGGGTTACTAATCCTTGTATGAATTAAATTTTTTCAGTACAAAGCAGACTCACTCTGAGATCAGCAAAGTAAAACACAACATAACTTTGGATAATGGATTGTAACAGGGAGTTAAAGGTGAAAGTGTTGCTTAATGAAAGGGTCACAACCCTTAAATCCCTCCAATATATGTACATAGCAGTTTACCCTCTAATTCCTAAGATGTGATTGTTAATTCTCTCCTCTTGCTGCTACACATTCCCTTTTAAATTACATGTAGTTACAAGGATTTGGTGTTAGATCAAGAAGACAACATTAACTGATAAGTCTGAGTATTCTTATTACCTGTTTGCAGAATTATGTATGAATACCACAGGGAGAAGTTACATGTTAATCACTTCTAACAGTTAAAGGGTTCATCTCATAAAAGCTACTTACTGAATTAAGAGCAAAAAGATGAGATATTTATTGAGTTATCCTTCAGGCATTTGAAATCAGATCATTTTTTTAGCCAATTTGTAGAATTATCTGACAATATATTCATTTACATTCTTTAACATATGGTCCACAACTGTTATTTCAATGAGATATTACATCTACAGTGATGCAGTTTTGGAATATGGCTCTCCCTTATCAGCCACAAATTATTTGGTTTCTACCAGTAATTGCCATGCCTACACTGGAAGAGAAATAATTCCAAAGTCTTTTTTTTTTCTTTTCTCTAAGTTAAAAATTCAGTATCAACAACATTCAAAAGGGATTGATATATTTTAGTATTTTCTCACAAGTTCAGACTTTTTGTTGTGTGATGCCCATTATTTTCCCATGACCTTTTCATTTTTTTAAACAATGCAAATTATACTTCAACTTGTAATTACTTTTGAAAGAATACAATGAATTACTTAAAGGTCATACATTCTCATTGCACACCACTCAGTGCTATTCCAATGGAAAACAAGGAAATTCAAATTCTCCCCAATATATATAGAGAATTTAACCTTATGTAGTCAATTTGTTCATTTGTATACACAGGTTATCTTGGCACATGTTGTGCATGTTCATGCATGTTTCAATGCTAAGTTTTTTCTCATAGCTGTGCCAGGTTGAAATTTTGAATTGCTTGTCACTGCAGGAGTTCTGTTTGTTTTTTTCTAGACTTAAAAAGCTTGTTGCTCTGAAGAAGCTGTGATACTTCCAAAATGATTTTTGGATTATTGATCTGAGAAGGAAATATTTATCTTCATTCCTTTATGTTTTGACTTTCTTTAAGTTCAGAGGTTATCAATGAAGGTAGTAGTTGTTTTCATATGAAAATTTCAAGTTTGTTTTTTTTGTTTTTGTCTTGAGTGGAGTTGTTTTTTTTATGGATGATCAAGAGGAAAAACAGGCAAGTGTTGTTTTTCATGAAAACTTTCTTGAAGTCAAGAGTTTTACCCTAATTGAGATGCTCTATAAAATAGTCCAGTAATATCTATCAAAATATTAGCACAGAGAAGCAGATAATCCCAAAGTTGATCATGTCTTTTGGGTGGTTTGTTTAATCACTGATGAAAAACATACGTTTTAGATTTTTATCAGGTTTTGGCTTCCATGCAGCAAAATTTAACCCAGATTGAGTGTGTGATTTCATGAAATTGTTCCTTAAAAAAACAATTTTTAACTCCAAGAGATAAGGCTCTCTAATCAATTTAAATGATTGGAATTTGTACATTGTAAGGAATGTCAAATGAAAAGTATTGTGTAACATACACCACTCCAAAACTGCACTCTTCAAATCATTAAACAATTCCACAAATAAAACAATTTTTGCCCATTTTTCTGATATTGAGGAACCTAACACATAATTGTGCAACCAGCAAATATCAGGGTAACATGAGTGGTCAGATATGTTTGAGAGGTGACCCTTGACACTTGAATCTTTACAACTGAAGTTGACATATTTACCCTCAAATTATACAGGAGCTGTTTACAGGTTATTGGCCACCAAAAATACATGTCACCTTAAGAGTAAAAAAGTTTAAGCAACAAAACCACAGGACACTCATAAACATATTGAAACCACCATGTGAATCTTGCTCTAGAAAAGCTCCAATCTGTAGTTTTACACTTCACCTGTAGGTTTCAGTTTGAAATAGTTTATGAATTTAGAGTAACATCTAGTTCAGAACTTTGCATATTGTAAAATACCAGAAAAAAAAATCAACAGACTGTAACACAAAATAAATTGAATTTCTCATTGCCTCCTTCACCCCTCAACTCCCAGAAGTAACTAACATGTAATAATGATATCCAAACCTTATCCATTACACAGGTAATGAGAATACTCAAAGTTGTTATCTTGATCTGATACCACCAGATTCTCATAACTAATTTTAAAAAAATGTACAACAGCTAGAGGAGAGAACTGACACTCAGATCTTGGGAGTTTAAGGGTTAACTGAGCAGGAGACCCACATAGTATAGAAGGTTCATGATTAAATAAATTGTAATTCACATTCATGAATTAAATGGTATTTACATTGGAAATATTTTTCCAAAAAAATTCTTACCCTGTTCTGAAATGCCACTTCTACTTTATGCCAATTGCCGTCAATGACACCACCATTTACATTTGATGTAACAATGACTTCATGGGAAAACAGTGAAAACCTGAACCGAACTTGTCCTTGCCACACTTCCACTGCAATAAAGTCATGTTTTCCATCATACCGTCCATTGAAGAGCAAAAGCCCACTGTGCTCAGTGGTAGTAAACTCCATCTGTATGTGTAAACGCCATCTTTGTTTCAATGCTAGGAAAAAATAAAGTCATCATCATCATCATCATCATCATCCCAAAACAAACTACAAACAGTGCCATTGAGTAACAACCCTTTAACCCCTAAGAGTGACTACCATCTAATTTCTCCTTACAATATCACCCCTAAATCACACATTTAAGTCACTAGAATAAAGGAAAAGATCACCAGCTGAGGAAGCTCTTGAATCTTGTACATTAAGTCTCCTTGTCAGTAACTTAGGAAATGTACAGAGAACAGTACAGAGAATATGGGTACTGATGTTTGGGTGAAAAGGGTTAATATAAAATTACCTTTTAGAAGGAGCTACATGAAGGGTGGAACACTAATAGCTTAAACCCTTAAACTCCCAAGAGTGACCAAGACAGAATTTCTCATTTCAATATCAATACAATGTCAAGAAGATAAGTGATAAGAATAAAGAGTAATATCAGTTGGGCAATTGTTAGTTGATTCAATACTGAATTCGCCAAACTAACATCATGAGAACTGTACAGCAGACAGTAAGGAGAATTACTTTAGAGATCTGGGAGTGAAAGGGTTAAACACACAAAAAAACCACATGAAATTAAAATTCTTTCCTCCAATACAAGGTGGAAGTGTTCACCTGGATTGGAATGCACTGCCCCTAACATAGTATATGTGACTAATTTGTTTGATTACAAGCCATCTCCTATATTAATAATCTATTTGTTGCACAAGACCAGCACTTAACTTTAAACTTTGAGCGATTGTACAAAACCTCAACATTCAAAAATTCATTGTGTCTTAATTCTGTAAGTTTTTCTTCCATCCTCAATACAGTGTGAAATTCAGTCAAATTCAGTAAAAAAGAATGCAGTCATGCAGAAGTGGCAAGTTTTAAAAGGGGTGCTTACTAAAGTAAAGTAGAAGAGCTTATTCTAGGATTTATAGTACATATAACTACAAATAAATCCTTACCTGGAAAGGCAACAAATGATCCTTTTTCAAAACTGCGCGTTGTCAGTTGGCACAGTGACCCATCAACTTCACTCGGATCTTTGCACTGACAGGTGAACCCGCTTCCAAGAACATTTTTACAACCACCATCACTATGGCATGGATTTGCATTTAGATGATTTTCTGTCGCTTTTGAGTCTGTAGGACACTTGCTCTTTGACATGTCAATCTCACAGTTTACACCAGTTCTTCCTGGATTGCATATACAAGAGTAGCCTTCCTCTACACTCACACACTTCCCATTGTTTCCACAAGGATTGGAGTAGCACAAGTTTAAACCTGTGTCACAACTTTCTCCTCGATAGTCAGTAGCACAGGGGCATCTGTAATTAGTTTGCACTCCAACTGAGCGGAATACCACCTTTAATGAGCTGTAGGTGTTGGATTTGTCAGTATAGTCAGTGTGTGACAAGCAGCTCTTTCTGGATGTTGGTAGGGGGAAGTTGCATATTTCATCAACACACAAGCCATCTTTGAAAGGAAGGAGAGTGACTTTTGCCATTTTGGAAATCTGTACCATATTTATGTACACCATGTCTCTCACATACAAAGGACTATAAAAGCTAAAGCGATCATTTTTATAAACAGCCACCCAGAGCTTGAGATTAGAAATATCATCCTCAAGTGGTGACTTTGCCTTGATTATCCTTGATTCTATATTAAACAATCTGACCTGGTAGTCCTCACAATTCACAGCAGAAGCAATTCCCCTCACAAGACCCTCATAGGATTTATCAAAGAATTCTTTGATAGTGACATCATGGACATCCAGGGTAAAGCTGTTGTTGAGCATTTGAGGTGTCACCAATGTTGCAAAAATTTTACCATTGGCGGGAAGGCTATTCCTTCCATCAGAAACTCTAACCTTAAGTTGGACTGGCCTTACTAACGTGTTGACTAAGACTTTGGGATTGACCTCAAGATAACCTGTCGTTCTGTTCAAAGACATGTCCCAATCTCCTTGTGATATTTCACTGATTTCATATGTAAGACGGTCAGAAACATCAGGGTCATATGCAGGTATTTTAAACTTTGGCGGTGTAGTAGAGCTTTCATCTCGAACATTTATGACAACAAAGAAATCCTGAAGTACAGGCGAGTTATCATTTACATCTTTCAGTGTCACATTGACAATTGTTTCAACAAAGAATGGCGATGATGTTGCCCGCACCTTTAGAATATACTCAGGTTTTGTTTCATAATCTAACAATCTCTTGGTCATAATCACACCATTTCTCTGAATGACAAATGTTAATGGATCATTGCCAGACACAATGCTGTAAAAAATCTCACCACCTTGAACAAGGTCTTGGGACACTGCTTTAACGGTGACCACATTGGAACGCATTCTCACATCTTCATCAAGAAACACTACATACGGATCCTTTTCAAATTTTGGTTTACTGTCACGAACATCTTCCAATGTTATCTTGACTTTCACGGTTGATTTCATTGATGGTCTGCCTTTGTCAGCAGCAACCACAGTCAGTTCATATTCGGGAATTGTTTCACGATCAAGTGACAGCAAAGTTCTGATAACTCCCTGATTGCTGTCAATTTGAAAAGCACCACCTCCATCACCTAAATGAGTATTGAAAAATACAACAACAACAACCAAAAATATTAATAGGAACACGATCATAAATGGCTTAATCAATACCTGTACTTGAAACCTATCAACCCTTTAACCCCTAAGAGTGACTAGCATCTAATTTCTCCTTAAAATATCCCCCAGAATCACACATTAAGGTCACAAGAATAAAGGAAATGATCATAAACAAGAGAAGCTCTTGATGGTTTATCAAATTCTCCTTATCAGCACCTAAGGAAATGTGTAACAACAGTATGGAGAATATGCATACTGATGTTAGGCTGTAGAGGGCCAACAACATTGTGCTTTTATTATTATGTAAAAACAAACACATTCAATGTTGCCATGGGTCTGTTCAGATCACAGCAGATGTCAAAATGTAAATAGAACAAAAAAATAGTTGAACACAAGAAGCAGCCAAGAGTGTCACTGATTAGATTTTTCTTCACCCACTCTTGCTAAAACATGTTAACAAATTTTAGGCATGCACCAGTGTTAGACAGTGTAGCTTAACATGAATTTTAAGTAAAAAAGATTTGGAATGTTGTAAAAAAAAAAAAGCAACAGTTTTTACATCTTTAACCCTTTAATCCCTAAGAATGATAAACATCTAATTACTCCCAACAGTTTTACCTCTGGATCAAACATTGAGGTCATGAGAAAAAAGGAAATGATCACAAACCCAAGAAACTCTTCATTGTTCTACAAATTCTCCTTGTTGGTTGAAAAGGGTTTGTACCATTGAAAATGTATAGAGAACAGTATGGAGAACTTGTATACTGATGTTAAGCAGCAAAGGGTTTGTACCATTGAAAATGTATAGAGAACAGTATGGAGAACTTGTATACTGATGTTAAGCAGCAAAGGGTTACTATAAATGTCTACAAAACAACAGGGAAATACAAATGAAAACCTGAAATTGAAATATGTTATTGGACTGATTCTGTCTATATGCACTACATGCAAGCATTTGGGGGTTAAGAGAGGTAAGTTTCTAAAGAAACTATGGTGCTGCATTGGTGGAGGATTCTAACAGGGTAATTCATTATTATCAACTGAGTTGATAACGTAATCAACTGAGTTGATTACGTACAGATTGGCCACCTTAAAGAATTACAAAGCTAATGTTTCAAGCCTTGGCCCTTTCTCAGAGCCATGACAATGGGCTAACACTCAAAACATCAGCTTTATAACTCTTTATGGTGGCCAATTTATGTTACCAGCTCAGTTGATAATACTAAATTACCCTATTTGAGGGTTAATTATGCATGTAACTCATGATGAAATATCAAACAGTAAATTAGATATATTTACCATTTTTTGCAAATGAGTAGATAATGGCTTTATTTGAACCCTCATCATCATCAACTGCAGAGACTTCCAAAACTCGTGTTCCAGGCCGTACATTTTCCAGAATGGATTTTTCATAGTTGGACTGTAAAAATCTTGGTTTGTTGTCATTTACATCTGTTACTGTTATATGTACATTAGCAGTTCCTTTAAATGGTGGATTACCATGATCAGTTGCACTCACTTCAAACCTGTACTGTGAAGTTGTTTCATGATCTAAAGGGAGCAACACAGTAATCTCGCCAGTTTTAGAATTGATTTTAAAGTCTCGCAGAGATTGTTCAATTGCATAGGTCAGTTTAGCATTCAATCCTTGGTCACCATCAGTTGCCTTGACAATAAGAACCCTTCCATCAACTGCGGTAGCCTCACTGATCCTTTGTCTATAAATAAGTTGTTGGGAAATGGGCTTGTGAGTGTTAGAATCAGTTACATTAAAGCGCACACCTGCAGAGCTTTCCAATTGACTGTCTCTAGCTTTTACTGTTAACGAGTAGAATCTAGTCTTGCTAAAGTCCAGTCTACATGATAATGTTATCACACCATTACCAGAAATTTGAAAGCATCGTCTTTGACTAGGAATAGACATCTGGAGACTGTAAAAGATGGTAGTCTGCCCAAGGTCAGGGTCGGTAGCTGTCACCTGAACAATGGTTGTTCCAAATTTAGCATTCTCCTCCACTGATCCAAAATAAATGGATTTTGAAAATCTTGGAGGATTGTCATTTATGTCTCCCACATTGACAGTCACTTTAGTTTGGCTGCTCATAGGGGGCCTGCCCTTATCTTCAGCCTTGACGTGAAATACATATTGATTCACTGTCTCTCTGTCTAATTTTCTGGTAAGGTACAAGTCCCCAGTTTGGCTGTTAATACCGAATGGTAAATTGGACTCCACTAAACTGTAAATGATCTGTTGGTTTGTACCATCATCTGCGTCAAATGCAGTAACACGAGTAAAGGTGTGTCCTACACTCTCACGTTCCGAGACCATTTCTTGAAAATCAGAATTCACAAACTGAGGTGCATTGTCATTGACATCAATAAGGTATATCTCCACTGAGGTTTCGTTGTAATTTGGCGATTCACCTTTGTCTTGAGCCATCACAAAAAGTGTATGCACTGGAATGTACTCATAATCAAGTTTCTTGTTTACTTTGATCTGACCATTAAGATGATTGATAGAAAAAAGTTCCTGGTCATTACCACTGCTAAAACTGTAGGTGACTTCACCATTGGTGCCAAGGTCCTCATCTGATGCACTTACAGTCAAAACTAGCTCCCCTGTTTTGATGTTTTCAGGAATCTTTTTGGAGTATTCTCTCTTTAAAAACTGAGGAACACAGTCATTGACATCAGTAACAGTAATTCGCACAGTGGCCTGGTCTGTTTTAGGAGGGGATGCACTATCACTTGCCTGGACAGTAAGGGAGTATTGCTGTACAGTTTCTCGATCCAGATGTTTGTCTACAGTTATTGAACCACTACTTTGACCAATTGCAAATGCACTGTTAACACCACTATTATTAATGATGTTGTAACGGATATCTGCATTGGAACCTGTATCTAAATCGCGTGCCCGCACATCAAGGACCGTCTCTCCGATAAAAATATCCTCTGGTATGACTTTGCTGTAGGAGGATGATTCGAAGTTCGGCGCGTTGTCGTTTACATCATCGACATAGATGGTCAGATCTGCTTCAGCATACAACGATCTTTCTTGTTCGTATTCGGCTTTGATACGAAAATAGTGCGTCGGCATCTTTTCACGATCTAAAGAAGCTGAAGTTTTTATTAATCCCGTGTTAGGATCGATCCCAAAGAACGACTGACTGAGTAAATTCTGGGACGCTTCCATCGAGTATTTAATTTTCCCAGCGTACCCATTGTTCGTATCTTGTGCTTGAATCGTAATAACGCTTGTTCCTACGGGACCATTTTCTCTAACCTTAGCTATTAACTGAGAGCTGGAGAAACGGGGAGCTGTTTTCTGTGGTCGACGACGAAATCGGCGTACCTTCTTGGCAAAATTGTTTGCGTTTTTATCGATAAACAACTCAAGTCGCGCTACAAGAACTTGTTTATTTCCACTCGCATTCTCAGAACCAACCGGAAATGCCAACTCCACTACCAGAGTGTTTTCTTGAAGTCCAAGTAACGATTTTCGAAGCACCAAATAATCGGATTTGGCGTCGAATCTGAAATACTTTCTCCATGGTGTATCTCTAAGCCTTAGCGACGCAGGATCTTCTTCGTGAATGAAGTCTTTCAATCGAAGCACACGCGTTCCGACTGGAGCGGTCCAAGACACTTTTCTCTGAAGCTTTCTAAAGCAGTTTTTTCCAAAAATTGTCACGGTCAGAGGTCTTAGAGTCCTCTCTGCTGAATTAAAAATGGAATTCGACGATACATAAATATTAAACGGATTAAGCTGTAGAGATGTGCAGTCTGGCTTGCGAATCATTCGCAATAATCCGTTTGTTGAATCAATAGACAGAATTTGAAGAGTCGTGTGTTCGTCGGGGTTCGATGCTTCAAGCGTGTAATTCGTCCATCCCGGTCTACTTAAATTAGCTAAAATACTATACGGCTCTAACGATGAATAAATATTAATAACGGTGCCGTCCACTTGATGAAAAAGCCACAGGCACAAGTGTAAAAGAAAACCCAATGATAAGCGGTCGAAACAAGCCATTTGGCGGTGAGTCTGTTGACACCGTGTTAAAATAAGCGCTTTTCATGAGCGAAGTTGAAAATCACCAGTTCTTCCTTCAGCATACGTAAATGAACAACACTCGCTATTTCACTTTTCCATAAACACGGCCCAAGATTGGATAGAGCGCTCATCTTAGAGCACACCAGCTTTGAAATACCTTTGATCTTTACGGTTAGTTTGCTCGAGTGTCGGCAAGAGGTCTAATTTTGTTTGACTGACAAGTTTCAATTATTTCAGCAGCTAATTGGCTTCCTCGCCCTCACGTGATCACTTTCTGTAGCCGCGCGAGTTATTGAACCCAAGGTTTGCATGACAAATAAAACTATTTGATTTTCCACAAGCATTCTTGTGTGATTTATTTGCAAACAAAAGAAGAACTAGAGGCTCACCGTGTGATCAATACAGCAAGTGCTTTCATTTCGACATATTGAAAAGTTTTCAAAAACATCGTTCAAATTAAGTACTTTCGCAAAATTGACAAGATTTGCGCGGAATTTTACAAATTTTTTAGTGGAATTAAAATTGATTGAAATTGCTTTTGACAATATGTTCTGACTTGTATATTAAGGATTGGATGCCTGTCACACGAGATATCTTGATGATATTGCTTTGGCGTAAGCTCAGAAGTTAGTCTCGAATTCTTGCAGCTGAACCAAAAAATAAAAAATATCTATTATTGCACATGATTACTATTATTATTACAATAACGCAACCAGACCTTTGCCTGGGTCATCCTTCATCTGATTTGTGCTCAATCCCTAGATGAAAGATCGCAAATAATTAGCAAAGCGAAATTGCACTTGTAAACGAAAGCGTAGCGTGCGTGACTCTGACATTTCCTCTCAAATTCTTGACGTGCCAAAAATTTGCAGTGCGGAAAAAACTTTCTAGAATATTTTGTCAGGTATGTTGTCTTTACAAGTGTTTGTAACTTTGAACGTGTCAAGACTTGCTAATGATCGGTTGACGATAAAACACAAGAGACAGGATCCAAAAACCTGTGATATTGAGGCTGCCTATGATTTTATCTTAGCCGTAGTATATCTTCTCATTAAACAACGAAATTATTTTTGTTCTTTCCAAACTTGGATTGATAGAAAGATCGATTAAATTTTAAACGGGGAAATATGTCGTTAGATTTTAAAAATTCAAGGAATAATTAAGTCGCTAATTAACGATTGACAGAAATACGATATGAGGCGAAATTAAATCAAATCTGGATACCAACAGGTATGAATTCGGAAGTAAATATTTAAGGCAGGAAGTTGATGCGACTGGGTTGTCATCTTGAAATAAGAAAAAAATGTGTCCTGAAATCTTACAAAAAATGACAGCGATCTATTTTGAAAGAAAAGTGCACTGCTTCGGCGAGTCACTCCAAGTATAGGCGTTGAGTGCAGATCCGCCTACACTTGCTATGCGATATCTTAAAAATCACAAGAGACTCTCGACATCAAAGCCGTAATCAATTAAAACAGAGCTTACGTTGATTTAAATTTAACGCAATTACTCAAGAGCCTTAAGCGCAATGCAACTCACAAAGCATAATTTGGTCTGGCACCGACGGTCTTCGGTCAAGTGAACTGTGTTGACAAGTTCTTACCAAAGGTTTACATAAATTTGAGAGGGTGAAAAGTTTTCAACACGAGGTTTGTGTATAGTCACCCATAAAAATGTGAACCTCATCTATCAGGGCTAGGCTTCTGTGATCAAACAAACAACAGACGCACACAGCGCCGAAGATCCATTCTTCAAATTGCCTAACTGTTTAAAGAAAGATGGTTTTCGTCTTGCCACGAGCGTGGGACAAAGTAAAATTGAGTCACGGGTGGATAAACTCAGTGCGGTTATCACAAAAGTTTTGGATAATTCTTTATGAAAGTTTCAATTTACTATGCTTTTTTCTCTTTAGTTAAATGCAAGATGTTCAAACGCGATTCTCTGAAAAAAAATATTCTTAAAGAGAGCGATACATATCATAGCGCGAATAATTTTCACGCTGATACAGTTTGAATGAAAACGGTAATTTTCCATCTGTGATTTTCTGATAGCACAGCCAAGAATTCAAGCTAAGAGTTCAGGAGCAGCAATGCTCATTTTTCATGTTTTCAAGCGAAAAGGGTAAAATAAAACTTCAAAGGAATTTACCGGCGTTATAGTAAACTGCACTGTTCCAAGACTGCTTTTTTAACAGTCTTCTTTGAAATAATTTTCTGCTGACTTCGGTCGCGCATGCCCCGGAGCAATAGTTCTTCAGTAAAATGAAGTGCGGTCAGTTATTTCATTTCCGGTCTTTGACGCCGGATCGAATCAATGATCTCACATTTATTGTTTTCGGATATTATGATTGAAAGATCGGTTACACGCTTGACACGAATTTTTCGAAGAGATTCCTTCTAGTACGTAGACAAAATAGATATGACAGCAGTACTAAACCGCAAGAATTTAATGTGTTCCATGATTGATATTTCAAACTAACTTGGAGTCTGTTTATCATCCTCCCCCTTCTCCCAGGGTCTTTCGAAGAAAAATGGCTCCCAAACGATGCACTCTGTCTCCGTCACTCCTATCTACCAACCTTGTGAACAAGGCGTTAATTGTTTTGTTTTCTTTGCTTTTTCGGTTTTTTTGTTTTTTTTTTTTGTTTTTTTGGGGGGGGGGGGAGGGAGGGAGTGGAGTGACGTTATCTTTTACATTATTCCATATGTTCGAGCCTTTCTACTAATCCAGTGTTTCTTCAATTGAGTGTTTTTCTTCCTTCGTAAGATGTTCCGTAAACCATGAAAAAAATTTCTACATGCGTCACTCGGTGGGCGTTTAGATTAAATTTATTGCCAAGAGATATTGTTTTTCTTCTCTTTTCATAATTATTATTCCTTTTAAAAATTGTTCTCAGGGGAAGTGGGATTGGTTAGCCTTTCACTCCCAGTGGTGATCACTATGAATCTTCTTCCTATGATATCCATACATTATTCAGCAGACAGGTAATGAGAATATTCAAACTTATCAGGTAGAGGTTGTTATCTTGATCTAACATCAAATTCTTGTATCCAATTAAAAAGGAAATGTGTAGCACAAAGAGGGGAGAATTAACAATCAGATCTTGAAAGTTAAAGGTTTAACCTCCCCCCAGCCCACCCCTGTTTGCCTATTATCTTTCCTGAGAGTAAGCCAGCCAACATATTACATCCGCACGCTCACGCGATTCTCTTCTTGAAAAAAATAGAAACGAAGGAAGCATTTTTGTCTTAAAAGACAGTACATCATAAGAAAATAGAAACAAAGAAAAAAAAGGGAAAATAAAATAAGAAACATTTTGAAATTCTACGGTGTCCCTTTTTGTCGCCAAGAGATGGAAACAAACAGTGCCTTAGTATATATATTTATATAGGAGACTATATATGTTGGACATTTTTCTTCTCGGCGCCTGTCGGTGGAGTAAATTTTTTATCTATTTTGGTTCATTTGCATTGTGGGCGTTAAAATTTCATTTTTTTGGTGGCCGCTTGATCGCAAATAAACGCTTGCCAATTAATGATGACTGTCAAAAAAATTAACAGAAACGTTATAGAAAAAGCAAGACGAATCAATACACACTTGAAAAACAAAACGAGACAATGATTGATGTCATGATTCTAATCTTTGATCAACAAAGAGAATATTATGCTAATTTGCCGATCAGCAACGGTATTCGAAAACATTAAAGCTACATGAGAATTTACCCCTCTATAGATTATCGTTGTTTATTTTATTAGTATGGTTATTAGTATTTTTATTATTTACATGTATCATCATCGTCATTATTTCAATTGTTATTGTTATTCTCGCCTTTTCTATCCCAACAGAGCAGTGTTTACCTATCTCATAACTATCTATCTTTTACGGAGGGTTTCTCCTCAGAATTATTCGCGTCAAAGGTGTTTGCTCATTTAAAACGCCTTGAACGTTTTATTCTTAACAGTGTTATAAAAAATTTCATAATAACCATAAGATGCCTCAGTTGCTCTCGATCTAAATTTTCTAACGTGTTGGATTGATTATCATGACGGAACCAAGTGATAATAAAATTCTAGTTATATAAACCTGTTTATTCAGAAGTTAATTGCATTCTCCAGATGGTTGCAAGCTTATAATTTTTTTTTGCCCTCTTACTTGCTCTGTTCGAGGTGAGGTCATCAACATTTAAAGAGAATGATTATTGGATTCTGAAATACATCTTTATGCAAAGTTAACGGCACCGTCTTCCTTTTTTTTTGGTTTTTGACATCACGGAAGGAATATTTATATTCAGCGACTTTCGACTTTGTTCGGCAGGAATCTATTCATTCTCAGAGAGACATCTTAGAGAAAGGTAATTTTTTCTAGGCTATTTTTGTACCGTGTGGAACATTGAAAACATGGTTATTCTAAATATTATATAATTCAGTTGTTACCTGCTGATGATGTGCCGTGTATAATTGATCATCGCCGATGATCATCATCTCTATTATTTCGACTCGGTTGTTAAATAATTATTTTAAAGCTCGCTGATGGTTTTAAGTACCCTACAAGTACTGATTCTAATTCTGATCGGGGTGACTTCGACGGACATAAGAGTGTTGTTGTGTTAATATCATTATCTCGGTATATTTAGCATTTTGGGCCAATTTTTTTAGAGTACTTTGCTTCTGTATGCTTTATCTCTGATAAAGTGCTTGTTAAATAAGCTTTGCTTATATAGTTCTAGATCTAAGTGGTCGTTATAGCTGAATTATA